TATTATCAACAGCTTTACTTTTATACACGAGTACATAAATTAAAACAAAACTCGAACTCCTCCTATGTTCTTCTGATTAATTTCGTCGCGGGTCCAATGACAGTTTAACTTTCCCTCGGGACAAACTTGACATTCACTGGTTGGGTTTTTATTGGCGATCAAGCAGTAGATCCTGGCTACACAGGAGTTGCAGAGGTGGGAACGAGAGGTGGGAATAGGCCTTTTAAAACACGAAAACAAGTCTGACCATCTTTTGCTTCTTATTACTTCTTCTTCTTATCTTACCAGCTGCTAAATCAATTGAGGAACAAGAGTTCCAGATAGAACATTTTACGACCAAGTTTTTGATTGTGTATGCCTTCCAGGATCCTTAAATACTTTATTAATCCTTAATTACCTTCCAGAAATACTTTGTATGATAAAACAAAATACACGCAGACGAAAATAAAGAAAACCTCTTTACTACGAACCCGAAAAGAAAACTTGAAAGGAATTAAAAACTTAACACAACTAAGAACTTCTTTCTAATTCTGTAATCGGACCTCTTTCCTTCTTCGTTATTTAGTTGTTATTGACCATTATGCACTTCCCCTTAGCGTCGTGTGACTCGCTATCAGCCATCTTGTATCAGCTGATCCGCCAGCGGAAGTCGCGTCAGGTGTGCGCTGCGCCTTAGTTAGTATGCTGCGCGCGCGGTGTGAGCCGAGCTTTATCTGTTGTGATTTCGGCGTTGGACTTTTAATATCGACTGTAGAAGTTTAATAACACTTCTAAAAGTATTTAGCAGCGATATTCAATTGCTTTTTTAGTATATTTTTGACATTGTAAGTTATTTTGTTTGGAGTAGCTAGTTAGGGGGTGATCATTAACAAAAGTTGTCTACCGCAGCCTTTGAAGGTCCCATTTTTGAGTTTTTCGCTTATATCTCAGAAACTATCTAAATTGTATATTTGTAACATAAATAAATTATCTATTTGTAATACTAAACACAAATTAAATTATTGTTATTTGACCACTTTCTTCAATATAAACTACAAATGATTCTAATTAAGTACCAAGAGATGTCAAGTAGTTAGCACATGTACCGCAAGGTCGGCGCATTTCAGTTTCGGGAACGTGGCGCAACTGTGACGCAACGCGATGCAAAGTAGCATGATAGACATTAGAAAGAATATATTTGAAGGGCCATTAACCACGGATTAAAATATTTACTTCTCCAATTTTTAACGTAAGTGCGCCTATTAACGACCCCCCAAAATTTGTAGTCTATTACCGCCCTATTTTTCTTTCTTTNTAACACAGTGGGCCTGAAGACTGGCTTATTCCATACTAAATGTCAATTTAATCAGTGTTCAATACGCTTTTTTGTAATAAGACCCAGTCATCCAAAACTAGACTTAACGATTCCATACTATTCAAAATTCATGGTCCAATCTACAATGTTCGTTGCGAGTCCGCACTAATTCAAACGTAACTACAGATGTATACGTAAACTGGGTGACCCGAGCTGTATTCCCCATACAATTCCGCCAAAGCCGACACTCGCAAACGCTTCACATTAATTACTAATGCACTGGGCCTTAATTAATTTCCGTTTTAGCTGCCTTTGCAATATTCTAACGGAATCCCAGTCGGTTCGCTTTGACCCAAACCACATCCAATCAAAGCAGACAGGTCAATCAATTGTGTTTGCTCAACGGATTACACGTAGACCAAAATCGTCATCACTGCCTATCTGTCTACTGCTAAATTTCTCCTTTCTATTTTATTAAACCATTTCGGCACTTCTTTTACTACTTGCCTGTTCACAACTTGAATAAGTTGGTATTTATTCGACTCTCCATGTAGTTCAATAAAATGTTCATAAACATGCTACTTTTCTTGTCTCTCAACAAGTTCTAAGCAAAGTCACCATAACAACAGTTCTTAGAGTATAAGACAATACGAAGACCGAATTGCGTCAGCCCTGACGTATTTCGTCCACAAAACATGACGCAACTACCTACTTCAGTTCCACATAATGGCCGATCTACGTCACCGCGCCCGTCAGCTGTCGCTAACATCACTTTGTGAGTTTGCTGTTCACTTTCCTCTGTGGTCAAACTCATTACTCTGTGAACAATTCGTTTTAGACCCGAATCTGTTTCGAATTGCTAAATTAGTTCGGTTGAATGAATTTATATTTTGCTTGGTCGCAACAAAGTGCGTACTAAAATACCTCGACAAAGTTTGCTGTTTCAAAGTTTCTTCAGGAAAATTACCTAATGAACGAGAAAATCTATACTAATATTATAAATGGGAAAGTAACTCTGTCTGTCTGTCTTACTTTCACGCCTAAAACACTGAAGCGATTTTGATGAAATTTGGCATAGAGATAGTTTAGGTACCGGGAAAGTACATAGGATAGTTTTTATCCCGGTTTTTGAAACAGGGACGTGCACGATAAAGTTTTTCTGTGACAGACAAAATTCCACGCTGGCGAAGCCGCGGGCGCCAAGCTAGTAGGAAATATTTTCGTGAATGACTTGATTGTAACAAGCAACAGCGTTACATTTTAACCAAAAATATCAAGAACATCACTACTTTTATTAAAATTAACTTAAGCTCTACCGTCTCTCTTGCCGTCTTCATTCGTCGTTCGTTCGTTTGTTTCAGCCGAAAGACGTCCACTGCTGGACAAAGGATAGTCTTCATTAGTTGAAGATAAAAGGGCTGTGAATTATTGTTTCAAAAAAAGAAGATATCGATATCAAAGTTATTATAAATTGGGACTCGATCAAAGTGTGGATGAATAACGATTAGTAATGGTTATTCATTGCCACTCAAATCAAGACCCTTAGACATGCTAACGTTTTCTGTCCTAATGTCCTTTTTATGGCACTTTACTCGATTATTCATTATTCATGACTTTGAATTTAACATTACCTTAGGTTTAATACTCACTTAATTATTGTTAAAAACGTGATTTTACGAGTACCTATGATGTATATGAATAGAATGAATGACGTTTACGACGTGATATTTTTGACGACGAAATCATCCTCACTGTTTTAAAATACTTAGAAAATTTTGAATTTTATGTAATATATTTTCCATTTTTTTTTCAGTTTCAGCTTCATGTTGGTAATATTTATTGTAACTTATGAAAGTATTTCATATGGTGAATTTGATGACATAATTTTCTGAAAATTATGTCAATTTCGAACTTCCCAACATGAATTTATTTACCTACGGCCCAGAACAGACGGTGAAACGCAACTGCAACGAAACTGCAACTGTCTGATGATTCTGATGAATGAAACTGAAACTGAAAGTTTCAAACTGGTCGCGTCATGGTGTGGTCTCTCAACGGACGCTATGGCAGAAACTTAGATGCAACTCAAAAGTAACTAGCAGTTGCAGTTGCGTTTCACCGTCTGTTCTGGGCCTAAGTGTACAAAGCTCAAATAAGTTTGCAATGAAGCTCACAACTCAAAGGGCCGAGTTATCATACAGCGTGGTCGGAAGTAGGCTAATTGGCCTGTGACTTGTTGCTACCAGTGTGGACTTGTTGAACATGCAGCTGATGGCCGCTAACTAGTTTGAACTAGTTCATGCAAATACTATGAAGGTAGGAGGTAAACGCGTTATGTTGGACGTTTCAGGCTTTCAGAGCTTAAAGCTCGTAGCATTTCCTATTTGACTAGGTGTCAAACTTTATGTCAGACGTAATTTAAACTAAAGTCAAAGCAAAGCATTGCAAAGGTAGTCAAACTAAAAATTCAATATGCTTTCTGAAGCACTAGAGCAGTGGTTCTGAACCGGTGGTCCCTAGAGGCATTCCAAGTGGTCCACGAAGACATCGTAATAATCAAGTGATGTGACGTGATGAGTAGAATCAACACAACTCAAACGACGCACAGTGGACGAGAAATCGACCTCCCCTTTCATAGGATTTTGAAAAAAATATGTGGTCCCTGACAAGACAGAAATTTGGTAAAATGGTCCCTCGTGACATAAAGGTTAAGAACCACTGCACTAGAGCATTCTTATTTTCATGTATTCAGATTGATTAAAATTACAATATCCTAGTTAAATACCAGTTTAACTAGGATATTGTAATTTGAACAAATAGTTACACGTTGATTTCAAAATATGTGCATCTCAGCTGGAAATCGAACCCAATACATGTGTGGTGGTGAACGTTTTTTAACAAATAACTGTATTATTGGTGCAATTTTCCAAAAAACTGGTTTACCTATACTATCTAGGTATACCTACTGGTGCCATATTTCAGAGCAAAAGGTGACACTTTAGATAAAGTTCTAGTCGACTAGAAATACAACCTGATCATCAGTGATAGAGTCGCAAAAACATGAATTCACAATAACCATATCATTCAGACCAAAAGCAAAACGTTTTCTCTTAAAACAAAACAGAAATATCCGACAATAGAGCAATCCACTGTGGTGTACCGACGCGACAAACAGTCCATACATCCATACGAATACCCATACATATCTGACCCCACATCCCGAGCCATTTCGGCGACCAATACAATACATTCCAATAGGATTGGTCGCGAGGCTGCATTCCCAGTCAAATTCCAGCAATATCTACCTACCACATTGATAGCACCTACCCCTCAATACAGTCAATAACGTAAGCATATAGGTATGACTGCTGACTGAATTATGTTTAGGTCCCAAATGACTGAAAAAGTCATGTTTCGTAGATGTCATACAGAAAATGCAAAAAAAAATTTAACTCTAAAATCTCAACGAAATAATCCGATAACTTTCTCTGTGAGGTGCGTTTGTAAATTCAACATTCAGATGTATTTCTATTACATTATATTCTAAATTGCTTGAGTGAAGTAAATAATATTATTTCAACAGTTTAAACGGTTTTACAAACAACTTTAAATTATATTCTTGATGACAATTGATCTATAAAATAAATGCAACGTAATCTGTTAAGAAATAAACTGCGTCGCAAATGCGTCGCGTCTACGTAATGAGAAATCTTCGGGACTCAATTGATGGTACAACCCTGAAATCTGTATACATGGCTTTGGGTCAGTCTGTCTTGGGTTACTGTATTCGAGCCTGGGGTGGAGCGGCATCTACTACTCTTATATCTCTCGAAAGAGCCCAAAGAGCAGTTTTAAAAGTGGCGCTAAGGAAACCTATCCGATACTCGACAGTGGCCTTATACAGGGATGCCGAGGTTCTCAGCGTCAGAAGACTCTTTTACTTAAGGGTTGCTGTGTCCATGCACAAATCTGTTCTGAACTCTGATTGTTACGGCGAATTGCTCGAAAAGCGTGTTTTTAGAGTTCCCTGTCCCGCTGTAAAAACTTCATTTGCTCGGCGTTTTGGTAACTTCCTCTTCCCACACATCTACAATAAACTTGTCAGGTTGTGTGATTATAAATACTGCACGGTCAGAGAAGCAAAGGTTCTCGTCTCACGGACCCTGATGAACTGGACATATGATGAGTCTGAAGAATTTATTAGAATAAATAATTGAAGAAGAAAATACTCCCCCCCCCCCCACACACACACACACACACACACTAATACACAACACATCTACACTTTTACACACAACAGCACACACCCTACATCCATCCCTGATGCCTTTTCGTCTTCTGTGTACTTTTCATATTTTCGATTTATTGGTTCCTTAAATAACGCTTCAGCTTAGCCGTACTTAATTCTACCTGTTAATCGTTATTCTCTCCTCCACAGGACAGGCAATGCCTAGTGTGGAGGTCTGTCTTTTAGTTATTGTATTGTTTGATTCTGGCAATAAATATTTTCATTTTCATTTTCATTTTCAAATAATATAAATATAAAACTAAAGATTTAATAGATGACACAGCTGAGTGATTGAGATATATACATAAAAATCCATTAAAATATAAATTAGGATCTGATATATTTAATCGTGATTTTAATTTAAAAGGCCGATCGCTGTCATGTTGAAGAAAAAATCGAATAGAAAAAACATAAATAGCATAATACTTATTACTGACGTAGTTTTCCTAACCGAAGTAGATAGAAAGTAGAAATAATTTGTTGAAATAAATGACTTAAATTACGAAGGATTAATTGACTGTTATAACATCATAATCGTTGCCTTTGTGAGATACTGTTTATTATTTTTCCTCCTTTTTGCTAACGAGCCATTCCACGTTGCTTACGACTGCAGTTAAAGTTTACTCGCGTCAGTCCAATTAAATTAAACAGGTGAAAAAGTTAAAAAAGCAACTCCAATAAACCGGATTTCCCAGTAGGAGCCATTTGCATAACCATATTACGTAAAATGTTCGTAATAACTATAATTTTATAGCTACATAGTTCACGACACAGCCCTCGCGTGTGGGCACGAAGGATTAACAAAAACTAAGGAATTTTTTACGGGCTCAAGGCAGAAACTACAGCGATCGATTTGACCGACAAATTCGACATTTACTGCATAAGCTACCATTGTAGAGTATCATTCAGTTCATAATATAGAGTTGTCATTTTGTAGAAGTTTTCATTAGACGCTCTATTCAAATGTAAAATAATAAATAAACTCCAAATAGGACACAATGAGTGAGGCTGTAAGTGTGCGACATCAGTGTACCTACCATGAGTTTACGTCAGCGAGTACGTCAAAAATCTCTATGAAGATTTTGTTTCTTGAAAGTAGCCGCTAGGGGCGCTGCACAATATGTCATACATTTAAATGTCATTTTTTTACGCAGTCGCTAGCGAGATCACCTAACGTAAACTCATGGTAGGCACACAGAATCTACATACTTTTATTAAAAAAAAATAACACACAACACATAATTAAAGAATAATGATACTTGAAAATATAAAAGCACGAAAACATGAAAATAAACATAGCTCTAAATTCGTAAATTATGGCTTCCACGTTTTAATTTTCATGTCCTGCTTAGGTATACTAGGTATCTCTCTCCTCATAAAACGAAGTATTTTTTTTTATCAAGTCAAATTTTAAAACAGCGACCAAATACACATAAGCTGACAAATAATGAAGTCTCATTCTAACCAAAAGTCTGTGTATCTGTTAACTAAGTGTAAGGTATATTTTGAAAGCCAATTCTCAACTAACAGTGTGCAAAACAAACAACATCGCCAGCTCTAATTTTGGACTATCAATACACTGTGGAATTCTTAATTACCATCAAACATGCGACTGATAATTCTATGAAGGCCCACACCACCGATGTTTGACTGATCACTATTGACTGTGTTCGCGGAATAGCTTTACGTAAACCAGTTGTATAGTTTGTTGGCTTAGCGACGTGATTCAATTTTCTATTTAGCTAGGATTGGCAGGCTTTGTGGAATGGAACGCTATATTATGAACTCTAGAGATGATTGTATGTTATGTTTTGCTAAACAATAACGGTTGCTTGGGCCATAATAATTCCATTATTCATTTGAGCTATTTCTAACAAACATTATCTGGTTCTCCTCTGCTCTTAGACTAAAAAGATATTCAGAGATTTAGTTTCAAATAAAAAAATATAAAAAAAAATATTTTAGTCTCGAGTAATTTTGAACAACTGAATAAAAATTAAAATTCATAAAATTCATTTATTTTTGCAAATAGGCTTTAAAAAAGCGCTTTTACACGTCCCAATATTAACCCTACCACTGCTTCGGGACAATAAATGGGCCAGTGCTGAGAAGAAGCAGCGCAAGAAACTCAGTCACTATTGTCAGCCTCCTTTTCAAGGTTTTACAGTCTTTAAAATATACAAATTATAGTCATAAGTATTAATGCGAGCTAGGTAGTTATACATTCCAAACATTTTTATCCTTTATATAATCATCAACTTTATAGTAGCCCTTTTTCATTAAGGTGCTTTTGATATGTGCTTTAAATTTATGAATGGGCAATTCTACAACAGTTTGTGGTAATTTATTGAAAAGTTTAATACATTTCCCCATAAATGAATTACCAATCTTGTGCAGTCTGAAATTTGGAACGGCAAGTTTATTTTTGTTTCTTGTATTGAACTTGTGTAAATCACTCTTTCTAGTAAATTGCTCTATATTTTTGCGAACATATAAAAGGTTTTCATAAATGAACTGTGAAGCTACTGTCAGTATATTAATCTCCTTAAAGAATTCTCTCAAGGAAAATCGGGGTCCAAGGTTATAAATGGCCCGCACTGCTCTCTTCTGCAGAACGAACACAGTTTCAATGTCCGCAGCTGAGCCCCACAACAATATGCCGTATGACATTATACTATGAAAATAGCTAAAATAAACTAGCCTTGCCGTTTCAATGTCAGTTAATTGCCTTATCTTTCTCACTGCAAAAGCAGCTGAACTGAGCCTTGCTGACAAGGTTTCAATATGAGGACCCCACTGAAGTTTAGAGTCTAAAGTGATTCCCAAGAATGTTGTGGAACTTATGCTATTTAATGGTTCATTCTTCACCATCAATTGTGTGGGAACCTGAATATACAACTGGTTAGACTTTATAACCGGTCATAGGCACCCAGGCACAATCATCATAATTAACAAACATCCAAGTTGACCACCATAATATTAAACTCAAAATTCAAAAGTTGAATTCTTTAGGTACATCTTCTCCTTGGGCTATACCTACAAGCGATTCTCAAGCGACTCACTGATTTATCACAAAATTTCAGAAACTTGAAATTAGGCAGATTCCTTATAGGTTATGGATAGTTTATTTGATTGTTCTCAAGTAAGTGACAATATGGTTTTTATTGAGAAATAAAGAATCTTTAAACCTTATTCGATGTGAATTGATTTTACGAAACTCGGGTGGAGTTTCTTAGAAGCTGCTAAGCAGGTAAAACGGGGTCCACGTGTAAAAAGTTACTTTAAACGACAATCATTGTTTTAGAGACGTAGGTTAATAATAGTCCAACTGTAATCTTTACGAAAATCATTTGCTAACTGACGTCCGTGCAAAATTTGCCTTTTTGTCCTTCACGGTAAATAACTCCAAAAACACTAATTTATGATACCAAAAAACTAACAGTTACATTGTAAATGTTGGTCATCGCGTTTACATGTAGCTGACATGCATGTGCAGAGCCGAAGCAAAAACGTCAGCGCTGCAGACAAATAATGAAGCCGTCACGATATGCTGCGACAGGCGTTAAACGATTTCAGACGCTAATCGTTTGGTACACTGAGGTGCAGTAGGTCCATTTTTACCTACGTGCCCTGCAGCGTTTAGCTTAAATCAATTCAGATAGACTTTCATATATTTAGAACTGAATATGACTCCAGTCATTTACTTTCTGCTGCAGGACAACTCTCTCTTATTTATCATAGATAAATGGAGGTTTTGGCCTACGGAGTGTATGCAAAACCTCCATGCTGTCTAGACGGGTTGAAAAGGCTTAATGTTCGCACAATAGGGATGTTTCCTGGGTAAAAAAGCAAGAATTTTAATTAGTCCGTCAGTTAGCTTATCAAAAACTTCTCGACACGTAAGAATTTTTCACTTTTTAAAACGAATGAAAATGTAAAGAGATTAAGCGTGCCAAAGTTCTAAAGAAAAGGCCCGTGACGTCAGTGAGTGCGTAAAAGTGCAGCACTTTGTGACGTCGCGCGGAACTTCAACGCACTATAACTTTGTAATTATTTGTTTGATTGACAATTCAAAACATACGTGTTCAATATTTTTTTATATCAAAATTGACGGACTAAAAAATTTTTTTAGGAAACTAGCTTATATTATATACGCAAATTACGTAAATTTCTTTGTGAATGCTAAAATCTGGCCTTGTTGGTGATTAAATAAATAAATAAATTTTTCTACAGTCGCAGTCGCTCAGTTGAAGTAAGACAACCCAGGACCGAGCCGCCTGGAGACGCATGACGCGGAGGGCCGACCCCAAATAAAATGGGAATGGGCCAGGCAAAGTAGTAGCAGTCGCTCAGTTGAATTTTGCGACATCCGCAGAAACAGTGAAAGTCCTGCCCTGTTTTTTTATTATTTTGAACCACACGTATAATTAATTCTTGTTAAAGGTAACAGTTTTAACTAACTAGTAGTCCTACTGAAAGTAAATCCATTTTGTCGCTACTACGTTCAATATTCATGCCCCTAACAGATTACCGTTCATGACTGCGCGCGATTAGTGCAACAAATCGTTTAATTGTGAATATTTTATTGCACTGCAATGCAATACCAACTCATGTAACAGTTGTGATTGTGGAATGCAAATATTTTCCATTTACAGTACTTTTGAAGATAGCTTTATTGTTTTGGAATTTTACCTTACCTAAGTGGTTGTCTGTGTCTATTTGCTTCTGATATTTGAGTCTAATTTTATCCTGAGAAGGGTCGAAGTCCCTGGGTGTAGACTGTCTTGTGTTGTGTAAATATTTTCTCACTTATTATTATTATCTTTTTAAACATTCAAATTCGAAATTCAAATATTTTATTCAGTACATAGGCCCTTTCCAGGGCACTTAAAGACGTCCCAAATATAGCTTGCCCTACTACTACTTCAGGACAACATATGGGAAGAAGTGGCGGAAGAAAACTCAGTCACCTTTGTCATTGTGTTTTCTGCAACATCTTGACACAAAACTTCAAGAATAAAACTTATACTAATACTTGTACATTAACTTTATGAATTCGAGTAAAGGTAAATTATAACATTTACCTATGAAATTAATGTCTTACTCTCTATAGTGCTCCAACTGCAATATTTCCTAATGAACAGTACAAATAACTCAAGAATTGCATTATTGCTACGTTGTATGCGTTTGTACCATTTTGTGTACTTTGTGCAAACAAATTGGTTTCTC